AGCTCTTAGGAAATTATCCCCACCTTGGGCATTGCAAGCAGCTATTTCCGGTGGGGAAAGCATGTCAAGAGTATATTCATGAACTGGAAAAGAGCTTGGTAACAAGGTCAGCCGATGAATAGGCATAGCAACTAAGTCGACTGTTTTGAAAACTGAAACTAGAATTAGCCTAGGCTGGAAACTGAAACTAAAAGTAGCCTAGGTATAGTGGTATGTTAAGCTCTGCAACTCTGCAGCTATGTTGAGCTCTGGATCTGTCTATTGAGATGAAACTGCTTCTCTCCTCTTGCTTTCCTGCTGATCTATTGAAGATGAAACTAACTTGCTTGCTTGCTGAAGACTGGAGCTCTGCTCTGAACTTGCAACATGTTTCTGTTTGAGTTTGCTCCATGTTAGAGAAATCTACAACTGGTTTGTAAAATCTTATGTTTATAAAAATGTTAAATGAAGCATCAGCCATCTATGTTTATTTTTCTGGCGCTGAGTCATCACTGCGAAACTCTCAATAAAACAGGATGAACAAGTGGGGGAAAATATTTTCCTTTGCTATATTAGACCATGGCGGGGTCCCTACAGGAGAGCTCTTTTAAGGATTATATATTAATAGAAAAGCAACTAACACCTCTGTTCTTAAATGCTAAAGCTGTTGCACATAAAAAACAGAGGAGCTCTGATCAACTATCAGAGTTATCAATTTGACAGTTTTTGCTGTACTATAGTCTGCGGATGCCCCCACGAAATGCAAGCACGGGATAAACTGAGTCTGGTTTGTTCTCAGTCTTATAAGTGTCCACAAATTACCAGCAAAAGTGGCATTTGAACACAAGGTGAGGAATGTTTCCCTTTGAGTATCAAAGAAGGAACAGGAAAGACAAAGAAAAAGAAGGAAAGAGGGGAAGGAAGAAGAAAGGAGAACGAAGAGAGAAGGAAAAAGGAAAGAAGGAGATTATTATGAGAGAGAGGACCTGAGGTAAATCCTGCCTTAACACTTGGCCTCCAGCAGCCCTGCTGCCTTTTGCCATCCCCTTGTCCCCTCAATGCACCTTAAATGAGCTAACTTAAATAATGCATCCAAAGTGCAGGATCCCTGTAAACAGAAGTTTGGTAATGTTATGATTTACCATGGCCAGCCTGGCCAGCCATAGTTATGCAATCATCATTTCTACCATCCTTTGGTTAGAAAGCCGGGTCTCCTGGTAAGGAGATGGGGTGGGCCTCCCTCTGACTCACACACTTTGCCCTCTTGCACACACCATGAGCAACCTGGCCAAGGAGAGTGAGCACAGCAGCAGTGGGAGCTGGCCACGCCCACCCCAGCCACGCCCACCCTGGCCCACTGAAGTCAACCACAATCCTGATATGGCCCTCCATGAAATACCCCTGGCTCTAAGCAGTTTACCAGTCAGCATATTGCCCCCAACAATCTGGGTTCACATTTTAACCAATCTTGGAAGGATGGAAAGCTGAGTTAACCATGAGCTGGTCAGGATCAAATTCCTGGCAGCGGGCAGAATCAGCCTACAACACTGCATTCTAACCGCATACACACCAACACACATATACATATGAGTTTCCATACATTAATTTTAAATTTGGTTTAGAAATATACAGTGTTGTTAAACTTTGCAATATCTAGTTTATGCATTATGTTCAAGTACTGTACAAAACTTGCAATAAATAACACTAGACAAGTACACAGTTCTATTATAAAGACACCATTCTTCTGGTGTATTTTTTTTCTTAAAAAATCAACTAATAACTGCTAATATGTGTATGCGAATCAAATACTTTTAATTGACCAAATCTATTGAAAAAATTAAAATATAAATAATTATCAGTGATGATATTGTTTATAAGGGCTTTGGGGACAAGTTTCAGAATGAAATTAATGGATAATATTAAATATAATACAAAAATGGTAAATACAGGCTTCAGTTTTGTTTTCATAAGTATTTAAGTATTTATGAAGTATTAAAGATTTTTTCTTTAAAAACAAAACAAAAAATAATCCACTTCAGAGAAAAACTATTTTTTTAAAGTTGTTTTACATTTATGCCAGGAAAAGATAAATTGTACTTTACAAAAGCAGCAATAATAATTAATGATAAATGAATTAATGAAACTACCATTTTGGAACCAACATTGAAGTGCATTGTTTCCTATCTTTATAGTGAAAAACAAATAATATGAAGGAAGTCTTTTAGAACAGAATTAATGGAGACTTTACTTTGGAAAAAAAATGCACAAAAATCTTATGTTACCAATGTATTTAATTCCCTGAATAGTATCCAAAGGTACTGTATATTTTAGGTACTTAGCATTTCTTTTGAAAGTTATAAAAATGGAAATTCACAAGATGGATTTTATACTCAAAGTTGTCTTGTGACTGTCTACTATATGTAGTTTACTTCTAGGTAAAGTCATATACCCATATGTAAAAATGTAAAATGTTGCTTCTCATGGCATTATAAGCAAATTATCCATGATCAAACCTATTGACTGATCAAGTTTCTTTTTCTATCTACTTTCTAGAACTTCTTATAGGAATCTTAAAAAAGTGTCAGAAGTTTTTCCATTATTGAATAGTTGAATGGGTTAATATTACAGATATCAAACCATGGTTACAAAACATAGTCTTGAACAGACTCCAAGGAACAAGTATACAGAAAGAAAATGATTTTTAGGCTGATCTACAAACTGCTTGTTCAAGCACTTACTAATGTGATTTTATGCTTCTGTTTTTATGCTTCTGTTTGAGCAAGATCATGCAGAAGGAGGTTGCATAAATGGAAGAACATCTTTGGATTGAATTGCACATTTCTCATGCAATACCCTAGAGACTGAAAATAGCTTTTCCATGAGCAAAAGGTAACTTCATCATATGGAAATGAATGTTTTTATCCATCCTTTGGCACCAACCTTTGGATCCAGTTTTAGGCTTATTAGTGAAGTCACTTAATACTATTAGTGGCAAATTGTCATATGCACAGCAATCAATGCAAATGATTTCTAAGGCTGCTCATTTCAAAAATTCAGAAATATAACAATTGAAAACAAATATTTTTCTAGTTATTTCAAATAATAAAATGAAAACTGACCTTACCTTACTACTACTACTGTATCCTTAATACTGAATGGCTTATTTGAAGGATCATATTTACCTGAAATATGAATTTAAGAAGATCCTCCCCCAAATGTAGGGTAGTTAGAAAAATACAGTATACCATACAATGCCAGTTTCTCCTCTTTGTGTGAATTGTTAAACTGTTAAACCGCTTGTGTCTGATTATTTGTAATCTTCAATATGCATCATAGGGCAACAATTTTTAATCAATGTACCTCAAATGAGCTAACTTAAGGCATCCAAAATGCAGGATCCCTGTAAGATAGAAATTTGGTACTATGGCCAGCCATATCATTTATCCTGGCCAGCTTTCTACAATGAAAGTTAATGGGGCAGCAAGCAGGAACCAAGTTATTGATACGAACCAGTACATATCAACCATGTTCAAACTCTAATCTTTGTTATAAAGAGAAATATGCAAGTACACACACACACACACACACACATATTCCTATCTCTCTCCTTCATGAAGCAATAAGAAAAAAAATGAAAAGGCATAGAAACAGAATGAAGGGAACAGAAAAAATTGGATGAAGTAATTCAAAAGTAATTCTACAGGACAGGAAGAGAGAAGTTTTGTTTGGAAGTTAAATAGTTAAATTCATCAGACAAGGAACCTCTTTCCAAGCCACAGTAAATCTTCATGTTAATGTTCAAAAATATCCATGAATTTCAGCAGTGATGTCTGAAGCTATCGGCATATATTGCTGTTCTATTTTTCAATAGCTTTTTCTATTTCTAATAGCAAGTTATCTCTCTGGGAAGAAATGAGTCTTCCTGTTGGGTTAAATTCTGTCAGCCTCAACTGGGACTTGCAGACTTAAAACATAGGCTTCCAACTTCAATGTCCCAGTTGGTATAAAAATATTTATTGTCTGTAATAAACTACATATCTTAGAACCAAAAGGGCCACAAGAAGATTTGACATGAAGCAATCTACAAAAACAGTGATTTGAATGTTATGGAGGTTGTCTTATTAATCAATACTGTTTCTTTTTGAATTCTGCACAATTTGCCTATTTCAGCTTTTAAATCATGATTCAGTAGAAGTCACTTGATCCAGAATGCACTGGAGACAGAAGGGAAATAACTAAAACAAATTACTGAATTAATATAACTAACCAGGAACCAACAACACATGCTTAGTTGTTTAGTTTTGTGTCTCATTTTGTTTCTGCATGTTGTTAACATCTTCTGCAATGGGTATGGATTCAATTATTTCCTCGCATTGTTGGAAGGAATCTCCAAGTGTAACACTTTTCTTTATCAACAGACTGATCACACGGTAGGATAAGCCGATAATTAGCAACTTCAAAACTTGATTAAAAGAAATTATTATCCCTGCCATTTCTGAATCTTTTATGCATAACTTGCATTCTTAATGATTGCTAACAAGAGAGTACTTTATGCTCACCACATATCTATAATATTTACATGGGCACTGATACCATAAGAAATTACTAAGATTACTCTTTTTTTAAAAAAAAATCCTTCTCTTTTTAAATGATAGCTTCTTTGCATTAAAGTAGAATCAGTTGTCTCATAGAAAAATATCTTAAACTTTAAATTAAAAAAATAGCGTTACTAAATAGTTACATAGGATCATAGATGGTTTGTATGGATATAATTCAGCAGAGTTAAATCCAAATTTAGGAGCTCACATAGATAGGAGAGCAGAATGTATTTGCCATGGGTGCCATCTGCTTACAGATCCCATGACTAAACTCTGTGCACCTCCTTTGGAGATAAACAAATATGACACTTATATATATCCTGTACATATTAGTTCACTGATTAGCAGTTATTAGTCATACTGTACATAGGAAAACAACTTGACCGTAATGATGTTACATGCCCTCAGCATAAAGTTAAGGTTTTAGTGTGAGGGTGCAAACCCATGCAAGACAGGTTCCCTGTTTAGATAGGTGGCCCAATACACCAAATTGAATGTGCCAAATAAAACTGGAAATACTATCCTGGACATTCTATCAATTTTGCTAACACTGTTAAAGGTTTTCTTTGCTTCTTGTGGTTTGGTTTCAGGTTTGGCTTTGTGGGGTTCTGAAGTAGTGGTAGCACTCTTGGAGATGGTGGGGAGAACAGAATCCTTTGTGATGTTTGGTCCATAATTGGCAACGGCCACTGCATAGGCATTGTTTTTCTTAATGACTGAGGCCTTTTCCTTTTTCTGTTAAAATATAATAAGAGGATAATAAGATATTATTAAATATATTCAAACTTTTCTGCACCAACAGACGTAATACTATCTACTTCCTTCAATTCCCAATATTGTGCCTCAGATTGACTTCACTGACTATGATACTGCCGTTGTAGAAAGCTTCTCTGACTTTTGGCTAAGGCCATGTGTATCCTATGTGTGAATCTTCAATGGTGACATGATTATTTTCTTCACTGTGATGGAGCAGTGCTGTTTTCATGCTATAAACTGGAAGCTTCTGTGTCTATGCTTCAATGTAAACCAACACATGCAAGTGGGCAGAATATTTTTATTTATTATTTTATAAAACAAATTATTCTGCAGTATCTAGAGATGTAGAAAGTATCATAAACTGTTATTATTATGCAATCTGCATTATTTGTGCCATACATCAAGAAAAGAAGTAAGTTAGAAGATCTGTAATGCATATTACATAGTCAAGGTAACCAGCAACGGCAGTGATGAGAAATACAGTTCTTTCTTATACTGTGTTCTTCACTATTAAGAACAGCAGAATATGGAAGTAGTTGGAATTGCTTTGTTCCGGGATGTTTTTTCAATTTCCCAGCTCTAGAATTTCCTGATAGTCCCACTGAACCTATATAGTTTTCCAAGGCTGATCAAAGCTCTTTAGGAGGAATGGCAGAATAAATATCATCTGTTCTTTTTTGCTTATTACTTTCTGGAGCCTTTCTACTAAAAGCCCTTGAAACAAATTGGTTGTGAGGAAGAATGGACAGACCATCAACTAAACTGGAATTGAGCTATCTGAATAATTCAAAAACAGGCATGTGACAATTAATGTCACAGATTCATGAAAAGTCAGAATTAGTCCTTGGGTACTTCTTTTTCCCCTTCTATTTTTGACTGTGTAGTTTATAAGCCACAGGTTAGTGACATGGAATTTCCCACCCCAAAAAAGGGCACCAGTGCTCTGATATCTATAAATTAGCAGGTAAATGACAAAAAAACCCCAAACTTAGAGGTTCCATTTTCCTCTTCTTGTCAACCCTGAAGCAAGCCTGGCCGAGGCCATCTTTGAGGCTTCATGGTTGCCACAAAGCTAAAGGGAGAAGGGGCGGGGGGAATTTTAGATAGCTCGGCTTGGCTGTCAAATACTTTCCTGTGGAAACCAAAGCCATTCCAACAGGTGGTTGAGAAGTGGAGGAGTGAAGTAACCAGACAACCTGTCAGCACTGCTATTGGACAATGTGACTGGTGACTTGGGGGAAAAGGGGGAACTTTTAATTAGCTGAAAACCGCGGGAACCTTCAGAGTCGGTTTTCATAAATTGTGCCAATATGATGTATCCAGTGAATTGTTCTTTGAGGAACATACCTGTCTCAGAATTCTGCTTTCAATGGGTGCATTATTTGGAATGTTGACACTTCTCTTTCATGCTTTCCCTCACAATTATTCCATACTTTTACTTGAATTGCAGTTTAAAGTATATTCACTTGAACTCCATCTCAACTTTGGTTTTACTAGCATGTTAAGAATGCTTCTGTCTTCTTATTGCTATGAAATTGATAAATAGCTTTTTTTTCATTTTTTCAAGTTCCTTGTGCAGACAATAGAATTTGTAGAAGCAAAAATCATTTTTTTTCCAAAACAGCATAACCATTTTAGCACTAAAAATAATTTTTATTTTAAAATAAGATTTTTTTTAAGAAGATTTTTTTTAAAAAATAAATAATTGAAAATGCCCTTTTGGGGATCTTAGAAGTCTAGTTTGTTTTTACTTTATTTTGAGTCTGCCATAGATCTGAAGAAACAAAACCCAGAAGTTTTGGTTTGTTCAAGGTTTTGGTTAAAGCAAGTGGGTTTCCAGAGAGATTTTATTGGGTGAGCAGGGCACGGCTGGTGGACATCACATCACTCTTATTTTCTCCTCTATACAATCTGTGTATCAACACTTCCTTTGTCACTGACTTCTTCACTCTAGGATAACATGTCAAAGTCCTTATCCTTGGTTTTTTTCCATTCATATCCATCACTAGAACCTCTTCTCCCAGAGCAACAACATTTTGGTTCATATCCCTGAACAAAATAGGCCTTTTTCATTCTACTTCCAACTGAAAAACATGTTTTGGTTCAGATGGATCAATAGAACCAGCTGTTTTATTTTTTTTTATTAAAAAACTCTTATTGATAAATAAAAAGGTTTTATTTATTAAACCTAGATTTATTATCATTATTGCTATTAAATGCCTTTTAGGGATTATATTTATATATCTTAAACACAAAATTCCTCTACTAATATCAAACATCTCTGAAAATGGAAGCCATTTTTAAAATAAACCATTTGCTTTAGTCAAATGAGAATCTGTACAATTACATAAAAAAGATCTATGACAGCTATTCATTTCTTTTGCTCAATATAGTTAAAATTCTTTTAGCAAAGTATCATTGGTTCCACTAATTTCTGTATAAAAATCGTTGAAGATAATGAAATGCAGTTGAAGGTTTGAAGGAAATTAAACAAACATAAATTGGCTATGATTTAATTTATGGACAGCCTTGGGATAATATTTGTTTCTTTAAAATGAAACAGGTAGAGAAAGGTTCCATATGAGCTGTTTAATTTCTGCTGAAATGCAAACCCAATTCTCTGCTTCTTTTCATAATCATTATTGTTTAACATATCCTATCTTTATATTGGTTTAAGACTTTAATTATTTTTCAGTAATGGAAAACTATCAACAGAGATGGTGTTAAATTTATTTTTTTTCAAATTGGAAGAAACCTTATACATATTTTTGATCACTCACCTTATCATTGACTATGCTTTTTCCATCCCACGCCCATCCTCTTTTTGTAAAATAATTTACAGTGGCAAATTCTATCAAGGCAGAGAACACAAATGCATAACAAACAGCAATAAACCAATCCATAGCTGTGGCATAAGCTACTTTAGGCAGGGAATTACGAGCACTGATGCTTAGCGTTGTCATTGTTAGCACTGTTGTTACTCCTGCAGGGTAGAAAAAGAAGAATGAACTTGGGTCAAGGTAATGCAAAATGCATGGAAAGTTTAGCACCAGAACTAAAGACAATTAAGGGGCAAGATAGAAAATTAAACTGAAAAAAACCAAAGTGCAGAAATTACAATTAAGTTCAATGATATCTATGAAATTACATAATGTTTGTGATTTATTATTTTAACGATCTTGTACCCCAAAAAGTCAACATGACAGCTGCAACTCTGCAATCAAAGCCTCAACTCTTTTTATAGGCATTGTGACATGGATTAAAAAAGAGTGACTTTAAATCACATGGCTGCCATCTAGACATCTTTCACCTCCCACTGCAGATGTGCTTAATGCATTTGTTTGAGATCACATTTTTACAGATATTTTCTCTAAGATGTATTGTAGACTCTTGAGTTGCTAATGTTATAGAACTGATTGAAGAGTACAAAACTCAGACATTTGCCTGGTATACTGCATAACATGTGAACGAATAACATGCATTATTGGATGCATGTTATTAGTTCATTGGATGGAAGGAAATTTGTGAGTTCTACTTTTAATTTGAAATGTTTTTGTTGAGAACAAAACATTGACAGGTTCTGTTCCAAAGTAACTATGAAATGAAAAAAAAATCTTATTTTTTGAAATAAAAGAAGCCCATCACTTTATATCTGGTGTTTAAATTAATATTTGTTAAAATATTTGGAGACTATCTATAAATGTATCAGAACAGGATGGCATGCTAATGAAACAGTACAGCTTTATTATGGTAGAATAACCATATGACAGGAATCCAAGAATATCTTCTGGATATCACCTTTTTATCTGCCAATCCTTCTCACTGAAGCTTAAAATCTAGCTGAAATATCTGTGAGTTATTCCCCCCCGCCCAAAATTATATATTAATTTTTAAATGTCATTTCTTTGTAAACCAAAAATCTTGCGGAGAAAAATTATCAGGGTTTGTTTAAGGAATCTGGAGGCTAACTCAATATGATGTCCCCCTAACATATATTCAGCTCTAGATTAAAATTGCAGATAGACTGTTAGAAAATGAGAAGATGGGAAGAGGAGCAGGATCAATGTACCTTAAAGAAAACAGGATCACTGACAATTATTAGAATGCTGCCGTAAATTAAGAAATCTACAGATTTCAAAAAAGTTTTGGTTTGCAGATCTGGAAAAGTCTCAAATTCAATTCACATGAGTATCTTGACACGGAAAAAACTACAATCAGGTAAGTTTTCAGCAATTTATTTATATACTTGCTTTTTCCTTAGCTAAAAGATTCTCGCCATTATGGAATCCAAGAACAAATCCAAAAGCAGCCTATTCTGCATGTTGCTAAAGAAGTGCCTTATATAGTATAAGGATGTCCCAGCTGAGGGGTGGCCAGGGGCCTAACTGAGTAACGGACCAAGGGCACTGCTGAGAGGCAGAGAGGCAGCCCAGTTAGGAGAGGGAGAGGCAGCCTGGTGGCCCTGCTGAAAGGTGGCCCTGCAGCCCAGCAACCCAGCCCAGGGGCCCAGAGATTCCAGAATAGGCACTGAGACAGCTGGAGGCCAGCTGAGCAGTGGTAAAATGGAGCTGGTGGCAGCAGGCCAGTGGCTGATAGCAGTGCAGAGGACCAACTGAGCAGTTATGGTGCAGAACAAAGTGGCAATGGAGTGCCCAGAGTAGCATGTTGTTCCTGGTAGTGGCAGGCTGCCAAAGGACAAGAAGGCAGGGGGAAAAGGGGTAAGGACAAAACACTTCTAGACACAAGGGAAAGGGATAAATTTTCAAGTCAGGGAGTAGAAGGCTAAGAGCAAAGCATCTCCTAGAAAGCAGCCAGCGTTCCTGCAAAAACAAATGCATGTTAAAATGCATACTTTTACATTTTTAAATGCATTTTTAGAATTTTAAATTAGATTTGTTTTCTTTTTTTAAAAAAATAAATTTTATTAAATTTACAATTAAAAACATATCGACATTACATACACAAAGAAAACAACAACAACACTCGGCCTTACGAACCGGAAAAAGAAGAGGAGAGATATAAAAGAAAGGAAGAAACAAAGAAAGAGAAAAAGAAATGAAAAGAATACATTTAAAAGCAGACAATATCCTTTTTGACAGTCTGCAAGATCCAATTCTCCTAACTTAATTTGAATACGCCCATCTTATCGATATCTATGCTTAAATTACCCATTGTCTTTTAAGCAGTTTATCTCTGGATTAACCAATTATACCAAGAGTTCCAATTATCGTAAAATGTTGAAGGCTCTTTATTTTTAAGTGCTATAGTTAATTTGTCCATTTCTGCACAATCACATATTTTCTGGATAACCATTTGATCTGTAGGTGTATAAGATGATTTCCAACACTGAGCGAACGCTAATCTGGCCGCAGTTAAAATATGAATTGTTACATATTTCATCTTTTTGGATAAATGTTTGTCAGAGATCCCTAGTAGGAAGAACTCTGGTTTGTATTCGATTTGTTCTTTGGTTATCTCCTCCAACCATTTTCTGATTTTTTGCCAATATTTCTGGGTTTCCTTGCAGGACCACCACATGTGAAAAAAGGTTCCTTCTATGCTTTTACATTTCCAGCATTTTGGACTCGTGTTAGGGTTCATTTTTGCCAACCTCGAAGGGGGCAAGTGCCATCTATAAAACATTTTATATGTATTTTCTTTATACGCTGCCGATTTTGTAATCTTGATATTTCTGTTCCAAATCTTTTCCCATTCTGGTAATGTAATACTTCTTCCGACATTCCTGCTCCAGGCTATCATGTTCCCTTTGACTATCTCTTGTTCTAATTCTACTTCCAGTAAATATTTATAGAATTTAGATATGTTCTTTTTGTTTGATCCTAATAAAATTTTATCTAAATACTGCAGTTTGTTATAAATTCCAAAGTCTTTAATGTCTTGTTTGTATCTGCTTTGAATTTGAATATATAACCACTGATCAATTTTAAATCCCTGTTCCTGTAATTCTTGTCGAGTTTTTAATTTTCCTTGCGGATCTAATAAATCTTTGTATTTAATCATTTTTGTTATGTCCAAATTATTGGGATGTACCATTGCCTCCATTGTTGATAGCCAGATCGGAATTTTTAGATAGTGTTTTTTACATATTTTTTTCCAATTAATTAATAATGAGTCCCTAATAAGGTGTCTGTGAAAATAAGACTGCTTGGGTTTCCCCACTTCCCATAAGAAGGCATGCCACCCTCTCTGGAGGTCATGCCCTTCTAATGCTAAAATTCTTTTATTAAGTAGGTTCACCCAGTCTTTTAACCATAATAAGATAGCTGCCGAATAATATAATTCCCAATTTGGAAGAGCTAGACCCTCTCTACTTTTCGCATCTTGTAAGGCCTTTACATTGATCCTGGCTTTTTCCCCCTGCCAAATAAATTTAAGTGTAATCTTATTTAATTCTTCGAAAAAAATTTTTGGCAACTTAATTGGAATTGTCTGGAATAAATAAAGAAATTTTGGTAATATGTTCATTTTAATCGAGGTAATCCTGCCCAATAGGGAGAGCTGCAGCTTATTCCAGGATTCTAAATCTTTCTTTGTTTGTTGAAGTAATTTATCATAATTGTTCTCTTTGAGTGATTTACCTTGTGGTGTTAACCATATTCCTAAATATTTGACCCTTTTTGTTACCTGTATCCCCATCATTGCTTCTAATTCTTCCTTCTGGTTTTCTGTTAAGTTTTTGGTCATTAATTTCATCTTTTTTCTATTAATTTTTAATCCTGCCACTGCGCCAAATCGTTCTAATTCTTTTATTAGATTCTATCCTTTTTCCATAGGTTCCTCCAAAAAGAAAACCATATCGTCAGCAAACGCTTGTAGTTTATATTCTTCTCATTTTGACCCTCACTCCTTTAATTTCAGAATTTTAATAAGCTGAAAGAGGAATTAAATTATTTTTTTAAAAGAAAATAATAATGAAGCAACCACGAAACAAAATATTTGGGATACAATGAAGGCAATTATAAGAGGAACAACAATCTCTTATAACGCCATGAGAAATAAAAGAATACATGCCCAACAAAATAAATTCCAACAACAAATTAAAGAATTAGAAATACAACTACAAGAAACCCCTAAAAACCAGAGAATACAAAATCAGTTAATAACAATTAAACATAAATTGAAGTTACTTGAACAAGATAAAACAGAAGTTAATTTGAAAAGGTCCAAACAAACTTATTTTGAGTATGCAAATAAACCAGGAAGATGGTTATCCCATAAACTTAAAAAAGTGAAAGAAAAGATATTGATACATCAACTAATGGATGAGAAAGGCGTCTTACAACATGAGATAGAGAAGAAAAAAGATATCATTTACAATTATCTTCAAAGATTATAAAAAAAGGAGGAAGTTAATGAAGATAAAATAAGAACTTATTTAGAGGAGACGAATGATAAGGTAATTGGAGAGGAATGGATAGAATTATTGAATAAAGATATTACATGGTCTGAATTGAAGTCAGCAATGGAGAATCAAAGTAATAACAAATCTCCAGGACCAGATGGGATTCCGGCAGAACTATACAAAGCAATAATGGAACTAGTAGGACCACTGATACTGGAAGTGTTTAACGAGGTACTTCTGGCAGCCAAGATGCCGGACTCGTGGAGGGGGGTGCTGATTTCGCTAATCCCGAAGGAGGATGCAGATCATAGATATATTAACAACTATAGACTGATTTCACTTTTAAATGCCGACTATAAATTATTTACTTCTATCATAGCTAATAGAGTTAAACAAGCTTTAAATCCACATATCCATGAAGATCAAAATGGATTTCTTCCGTCCCGACAAATAAAGAACAATTTAAGAACCGTTATCGATGTCCTAGAATACTATGAAGCCCATCCGGAGAAACAATCCGCACTCATATTTTTAGATGCTGAGAAAGCATTTGACAACTTAAATTGGCACTTTTTAATTCAAAAAATTTACAATATGAGTCTTGGCATCAAATTCGAAAA